TGTACTGAGCTTCTACACATCACTTTTCCCTGTCTCAAAGCTGTTTTGAAAACTATTTCCCTTATTTTATGGCAATCAGAGTTGCACTACACTCTCGTCTTCTGGAGTTGAGCATTTTTATAGCACCGCCTTCTTGTATCATGTCTGGAGTTGAACAGTTGGGTTTGTCACATTTTTTTTTAACTGTGGAGATACTTAATGTGGTATCCAATGGGAAAGAGATCTCTCTTTCTTGAAATCTGTATCTTTTACCTGTTCCATGAAACTTTATGTATCAATAAAATAAAAACCATTCACAGCTTCTTTGTGTTGGTTAGAGAATGCCCAATAGGTGGAAATGATATCTCTTGATAACCTAGACCTTGTGAATTCAAAAGGCTCAAGCAAAATTGAATTCAGAGTATTTTGATGTAAAAACAGAAATTATGCATAATATACACTGTGAATTTCTTGAAGACCTTGCATATGAGTGGCTCTTTTACCTTATGCTCCAGTACCTCTGAGGGAAGGGTCCTTACCACTGCAACACACCCAGCTCCTAACCTTTGGAACCAGTATCTGTAGTTGGTCAATAAAAGACTGTTAAGGGAAAAAAAAAAAATAGGAATACAGACTAGTTACTTTCATCAATGTAAGGTAGCATGGTCAGCCATGTTTGAGATGGAACAGGGAGCAAAGACAAATGCAGCCTTCCTTTGGACCTCATTGAACCTCTATAATATCTTAAAAGTGTTACAAAATGGGCGACCAAGTGACAATGCCCATCTTTCCATCGCCTATGAAAACCGTCAACCTTTCCCTTAGCAGTGACAGTGGGTGACAAGAATGAAGTTCTTTGGTTCTGGCACTCAGGAGTGTAGGGAGAGTCAAATACCCTTTAACAAATACAATGTATGTGGGGCCAGCATTTTGGGCATAGTTGCTGAAGCTGCCACCTGCAAAGCTGTCATCCAGTATGGGAGCCAACTGGAGTTTCTGTTGCTCCATTTTTGACCCAGCTCCCTGCTAATGGTCTGGGAAAAGTACAGAGAGCAAAACAGTTGATAGGGCCCTTGCCACACTCATAGAAACTCCTGCCTTCAGGTTTTTGTGGGAATTTGGGAGATGAACCAATGAGTGTAAGATTTGCCTGTTCCCTATAATTCTACTTTCAAATAAGTAAACAAGTCTCTAAATAAACAAAAGCCAACTTTGCATTACCTATGAGCCAATATATGAGTCGATGGCTCTCAGGCTGGCTTCATATTGGAATTACGGGGGGAACTTTAAAAGGTGCCTGGACACCACTTCTCAGCTATGATTTAGATGGTGTTACTGTGGCTTCAGCACAGGGAACCCCAATATTTCTCCAGGTGAATCTTTTTTTTTTAAGATTTATTTTTATTGGAAAGGCAGATTTAAAGAGAGATGGAGAGACAGAGAGAAAGCTCTTCCTTCTGCTGGTTCACTCCCCAAGTAGCCACAATGGCTGGAGCTGAGCTGATCTGAAGTCATTAACTGGAGCCTCCTCTGGATTTCCCATGCAGGTGCAGGGTGCCAAGGCTTTGGGCTGCCTTGACTGCTGTCCCAGGCCTCAGCAAAAAGTTGGAAAGGAAATGCAGCAGCCGCGACATGAACTGGTGCCCCTATGGGATCTCAGCATGTGTAAGGTGAGGATTTAGTCACTAGGCTATTGTGCGGGCCCCAAGTTGATTCTTATGGGCAGCCACAATTAAGAACTGCTGATATACTTGCAGAATATAACTTTTAGATATACCACATGCCAGAAGTATAAATACAGCATGATTATATCACTTAGTTTGAATGGTTTCGCATATTAGAATCCTCTTACAATTATCACTAAGTTATTTCAAACACTATTTTTTCCATGTCAGTGGAAGGTAACCTAGGAAATCTGTAAAATATACAGATGTTCTGACTCCTATCTTAGACCCCAATTTAGTATATTTGCGATAAATCCAAAAATATGCATCATTAAAATGTGTCCAAATGATTCTTGTGCAAAAAAAAAAGCACAGCTTCAAATCGATATTTGGTCAAGTAAAGATGTGGGTAGCTGTAGAAAATACAGGTTGTACTTTGTAAACTTTCTAGTAGTTTAAAATTTAAACTACCTACCAACAACAGCAAGAATTTCTGAGAAAAACATGAATCCCTTGCCTTAATGCACATTAACTTTATGGAAAAATATAAACTTTGTTAAATGAATCTAAACACTTCAATTCTTTAGCTTAAAGAGGATTTAAAATTAGACTGTTATATGCTAAAAAAAAAAAAAAACTTTTAGAAAGCCATTCAATCTAGTCTTTGATACAGTAGTGTTTAAAGAATTAGATAAAAATCTAAGGTATCCTGTTGTGTTAGGAAATTTAACACTCAGGATAACAAACCTTGAGGCTGTAGGACAAGCATACTTTTTCCTTTAGGGGTGAAAAACCTTGTCTAGCTGAAACTTCAGTGGGAATTTAGTGAAAGGAAATGAATTACTCACACTGGATCTACATCAAAATGTCAAGTTAACACATTTTGCCTTGCAAGGATGCCAAGGGATCTAATGTCTGAATGATTGAGGCTGCAATTTCCAAATCATTTTAAAGATAATGTCCTCCTCACCAGCAGGCTCGAGTATTCCTTTTTTCTCAGTTTTTTCCTATCTCCTTTGACCCAGGAGAAATCAAGATCCAGTAACAATGCATTACAATTAATTGAAACCAAGAAAAACAGATGCAAAGAAAAATAATTTAACACAGAAGACCACAGATTCAGAGTAAATTTCCCCCATGATAGTCAATGATGCATTTTTTGTTGTTGTTCTGAGTAACTGGTATACCTGTGAAAGTGTTATGAGCAAGGAAAATAATATTTCAGTACTGTTGTTGCAATTATTTTTTCTTGCAAATACTTTTTTAATTCTTATATTCTCATAGTTATTCCCTGACACACGTTCTTTTCATGACTCCTATATCTAATTTTCAGTCACAAAGATGGGTTTATAACCTACCCCAGTTTGAACATCTGTTTATATAATAGTCTATAGTGGTTCTCTCTCTCAATCTTTTAAAGTTCACGCTAGGATTTTTCAGCTTGGGGGGTGGGGGGGTCAGGGAGGTGTCCTTTCCTCTGGGGCCAGAATACAGAATCATGTACAGTTAAGAGTTGAAAAATCATTTTTCTCCTCATTTGGACAAAGTCTGTCTGCAGTGAGGGAATGGTGCAAAAGAGGTAAACAGAAAATAGAGGCAGACATAAAACTCTGGGATATTAAACCCTGCTTTTAGTTTATCAAGCTTTGATTTCTGATTTTTTTTCCTCCATGTGAGCGTTTCTTTAGCATCTTAGCACAGGAAGTAATAAACTACCTTTTGGGTTTAACACACTCTGAGCTAGGTTCTAACATCTGTAACCAAAACTCTAACAGCATATAAGATCATCTAATCTCATGGATAAGTATACTGATGGAGAAGAGATTAATTTGTCCTTTTGAACAAACACATTATGACTGAATTCATATTCATCGGCTTTTTGCTCTTTTGACAGGACAAAGCTGACAGTAGGGTCTAGGTGTTTAATAACGCCCACAGCATTTGTGACTGGCCCCAAGTAGACTGTAACTGGGTAAACCAGTCACAAGTGTCAGTTGAGAAAACACCCTCCCAAAAGTTGGAGCTACACCTCTGCAGTAGAGTGTAGTAATGCTGACTACTGCTTGACAGTAAGACATTTTCTATAGAACTAAGGTCCAAATAATGTATTCTCCATATTCTCTCTAAGAATTGAGTATAGCAGCATTATGGATGATCTAAGCAGCTCTGTGTGGTCACCAAAAAACATCAGAACAGCTTGTTTAAACCCTAAATTCAGGAGAGTAAGCAGTACAAGCACTGAAAATTATCAAAACTATATAGTAACAACAGTAGTAGTATATTTCTATTTTAAAGCTTTGCTTATTTTTATTGGAAGGACAGATTTACAGAGATAGACAGCAAAAAAGATCTTCCATCTGCTGGTTCTCTTCCCAAGTGACTGCAATGCCTGGAGCTGAGCTGACCTGAGCTGATCTGAAACCAGGAACTAGGAGCTTCTTCTAAGACTTTCATAAGGGTGCAGGGTCCCAAGGCTTTGGGCCACCCTTGACTGATTTCCAGGCCAGAAGCAGAGAGCTGCATGGGAAACGGAGCCATCGCACCAGGCTCTAGAGTATAATAGTAACTAAAGATGCAAAGAACATGTTTTAGACTACAGGTACTTTGCCCTGTACGTGCTGACCTCACCGTGGGCAGTCAGCACTGCATGCAGAGCACTGTGCCTGCTCAGACGGAATGTAGTGCTTCCTTTCAGTCTTAGCTGCAATCATTTAGTTCACCTTCGAAGAGGAAGCAGCTTACATTTCTGGTGTGTGACCATCCAGAAAAGCTTTACTAACAGATGTATTCCAGCATGAGACTCTATAGTAGGGACTTCTGAATCAGGCTAAAAAATGCTTTCTAAAAGGAATTCAATTCTTTTATCTGAGGATATGTAGTCCAAAAATCAGCTTCACTAGAAGACACGTAAATGACAGAGCAGCACTTGTGATTTACAATCATACCTTTTCCTGGTCTTCAACACATCCACAGTCACTTGGACATGTGTGAATCCAGGTGATCGCTTCCTGGCTGAGAGCAGTCGGTAGCCCAGCGAGAGGCTGTGCTCCCAGCTGGTGCCTCCTCACACTACCTGCTCACAGACAGAGCATTTCAATGAAGATCAGATATGAAACAGTCATTTTTATCTACTTACGGCAAGAGAGAAGTTAGCTACCTCGTCATTTTAACTGGCTTGATATTAACTGGTTTAAGAATAAAATTCTAAAAAATGAAGCAAAAATGCAAACATGCATTTAATTTAATTCATTTGTGCCATACACTGATTACATTTTATGCATCCATTTGCAAAAATATTTACATATACTTGTAACGTCACTAAAATAAGGAAAAACACTGACCAAATTTAAATCTTATTTTATACAATTTTATTTTTTTAAAAAAAGATTTAGTCAATGAAAATGAACAAAAACATACCCTCCTGGAGTTTATTACAATAATCTATGAAATCAAGAGTGTTTTTTAAAGCTAATACTTGAATGCAAGAACCATCATATAAAAATAAGGAAATCAGTTCTGGTGACTAAAATAAAAGCAGATAAATAATTTTCTTCTTCAAGAAAAAAATATAATTGAGGGAAAAAAGCCACAATAGAATAACATATATAAAGCAAGAAATTTAAACATCACTTTAGTTTCTCATTGCCAACATGGCATTTATATCCCAGATGAGATTTCGTAATTGATCCATAATTTGTTTCAGCTGTTGATTCTTCTGTTTGAGTTTCTGTAAGAAACAAAAGAATTTTATCAAAAATGTTTCATAAAATATAGACCATAAAGCAGGTTAAAAGGTCATCAGATAGGATTCCAATGGTTTAGACAGAAATGAAACCTTCAAGTAAGGTGGAGGGGGTCAGCCCGACTAACAGGCACTGGATTATAACGCAGCCTTTAGAGGCTGCTGGCTCCGTCTTGCTTTCTCTCTGACTGCCATCTCCACCCCCAGGTTCTTGGGTACTTTCCCCACCCAAGAAAATAAATTAAATATTTATGGCTTAACACCAACGAATATGGAGCTTTCAGGAGGCAGTGCAAAGGAACAGTTGACAGCACACACTCTAGACACAGATTCTGGGGCACTTGGCTGCTCAGTACCATTCAGACGTGGGCTAAAGGACTCATCTTTCTCTAAGTCTTGGACTTTCCAAACCAGAAAAAAAAAAAAAAGAAAGAAAAATCTGAATCCACTTCCAAAGAACTGTTAGCAGGATTTAATGATTCAACTCATTCAGTAAAGAACCTGCTTCATATTCAAATTGGGCCTGGCATATGAGCAAGCTTTCAGCAAATGCCACTAGTAGGTACAGAACTTTAACTGCCCATATAGTAGATAAAAACAAAACAAAACAAAACAAAAAACACAATGCCTCATGCAACTGATCTTTCAAAAATGTGGCAGAAGTCAGTATCTGCCCATACCATGAAGGTTCAATAAACTTCTCATTCTGCAAACGGAAGACAAAGTGGTCCAGCGCCTGATGCAATAATTTTCGCATCTAAGTTACACTGACTGCCAAGAAGCCATATGGCATGCATCTGTATTTCTATTCATGGATTCTACTAAACAACAGTTTACAAGCTTCTCCGAGGCACCCTTCCTTAAATTCTATGTGAGCTTATATAAAATAAAATACAAACACAAAAGCTCCCAGTCAGACCATTTACTAGCTACCACAATTAATATTCAATAATCCTGTGAAGACATTACAGTTGGAGATGCAACACTCATACTCAATTAGATCATTTTAAAGATATATTAAATACCAGATAAATTAGTATATACTGAAACATAATTAAAATGAAATGGAAAAATAAATGGGCAAGTGTGTAAAATGATTCTTCAAAATATCTTTGAGGCAAATCTATTGTCCATGAAAAAAAAAGATTTTATGTTTTACAGATAGTTGAATATTACTCATAGCCTGAATCTTGTGAAGATGCTTGGTGATTACTTCATCTATCTATGAACGACAGATCTATCCATCCATCCATCCATCCATCTATCCATCCATCCATCCATCCATCCATCCATTTATCTATCTATGAATGACTGACAGGTGTCCTATTTTTCATTCACTTCTCAAATGCCTGAAGCAGCTGGGACTGGCTTAGTCTGAGGCCAGCAGCCCAGAATTCCATCTGGGACTCTGATATGGGACAAGCACAAGAGCCATTCATCTGCTGTTTTCCCAGATGCAGCACTAGGAAGGTGGATTGGATGCAAAGTAGCAGACGCAAACCAGGCACTCTGATATGGGATCCTAAGTACTCGCCTAACCCAGTTACTAAGGCCTGCTCCAGTCATCACATTTTAACAGAAATTAAGAAGTAACTAGGAGTAATAAGATTATATCCTTTGCTGGTTAAAAATAGATTTCATTACTGATATAAAATTAGTGGTGTTTGTCATACCATGCCAGTAAGACTACTTTTCAGAATATCCATTTGGAAATGTAAATTCTGAGGGCCAGCATTGTGCTGCGGCCAGCGAAGCCTCTACCTGACGCCCACATCCCATACAAACACTAGTTTGAGCCATTACTGCTCCATTTCCAATCTCTCAAATATGCTGCCGCTCTCGCTTTTTATCTCTCTCTCTCTGTAACTGTGACTTTCAAATAAATAAAAATAAATCTTCAAAAAATAACAAATTCTGACATACATTTGTAAAAGGAGAGCTTCGTTCTTTTTTTTAAAAAAAGGAGTAAACAATGCTATCTTCAAGATAATATTCAACTCTAGGCAATGGCAAATCCTTTTTAAAAAAAATACTATGATACATTTTAATGCATCTTTGTCAATGATGCTGCAAACTGAGAAAGCACCACACTAGTAAACTATCTAGAGCCAAAGCACATCATGACAGTATCACAGCAGAGCTGATGGTTATGCTTATTAGTGGTTAACCTGAAAATAAATTTTCATGTCATGTTTTAGGATTTAATATACACAATCTTGCCACTGATTGATTTTAACAGAGGCTGACACCTGCCATTTTCTTTTTTTTTCTTTTTTTTTTTTTTAAAGATTTATTTTTATTATTTTTTGATTGGAAAGGCAGATATACAGAGAGGAGAGACAGAGAGGAAGATCTTCCTTCCGATGATTCACTCCCCAAGTGAGCGCAACGGGCCAATACTATGCCGATCCGAAGCCAGGAGCCTCTTCCGGGTCTCCCACGCGGGTGCAGGTTCCCAAAGCTTTGGGCCGTCCTCGACTGCTTTCCCAGGCCACAGGCAGGGAGCTTGAAGGGAAGCGGGGCTGCCCGGATTAGAACCGGCGCCCATATGGGATCCCGGGGCGTGCAAGGCGAGGACCTTTAACCACTTGCGCCACCGCGCCGGGCCCAACACCTGCCATTTTCAAAATCCATCAGCTGTGCCTAATTTGCTACGTTAACAGGTGAATGTATAAGTAGAATAGATATTTTGAAAAAAAAAAACGTTTATGCTAAGTCATGCCATGTAATTTAATATTCATACAAAGGCTGTGGCACTTAATTAAAAATGCTTTAATTTCTTTTTTTAACTTTTTATAGACAGGAAAAGATTTCACAAATTTCATACATACATTACACTCTGTGTATGATACATTTTACCTACTCTACCTTCCTTCATTTTCCTACTGTTGCTCCTCCTCCCTTTCTTGTTTTCCTTACATTCTATAAAAAATGCTTCAATTTTTAAATGTTTCTTGACTCTGTAACTAGTAGCCAATACATATTTCGATTTCATCCATCATCAAAAAGAGTAGCTTTAAGCAAAGTAAAAAGAACTCACCCAGATTTCCTTAAATGTCCTGCAAATATCTGTACATTATTGGGGTTTCAGAGCTTAAAGGATTCCAGGATACACAAGTGTGAAAATGAAATGAAAACTATTCAAGTAAACTAAAAAGCTCACCATTAGCAAGTTAGGCTGTTTTTCCCCTATAGCTTCGCATCAAGGACTGCCTGTGACAGATGTACGCGGCAGTTTCATGACACTGTGCTGGTGTGGTGCTTAGGCAGCCTGAGTGGCAAACACAGCATCCATGGGTTGTTGCATCTAATTTAGAGTAACATGGCAGTCACATTTTGAAAAAAGACTTATTAAGGGTCCACTGCAGGGTATATAAACCCAATTGCTGTATGTAGCTTATACAGAATGAAAAGAAATAAACAACATGGTAAGTCTGAATGCTTTTGGTTGAGTGTGATTACTAATTACTGATTGCATGGACTGAATGAGCAGCTTAGTTGTTTAATAAAAGTTAATGTTGGTACATTGCAATATGGTGCAATACTTCCATGTTTGTAAATACAGTAAATCATGTGACTGATCCCGAGCCAGGTGTTGCCCTGACTCCATGTGAGACTCTTCTACCCTCTCCGAGGTAACCTGTCCACCTGAGATGGGCCACACCTGCTCACTCAGGGCATAATTCTACTACTGAGGATAGTGCCCGGCACTAAACAGACACCAAAGTATTTGAACATCTGGATGCTCAAAGGAGAAATAACAAAAAAGGCAAATTAAAAAGCTTCCCCTAAATCCTGGACAAATGACAAAAACAAACAAGGAAACAGGAATCCTTAGCAAGCCTTTCAAATTTGTTGCAGTTATTTAAACATTGCCTTTTAGCAGTAAAAGAAGAAATGGTCATAATTAAAAATTATCCATTGTTATGCTCCATATCTAATAGCTAAAAAGTAAATTTGAATGTTCTAGCTATTAGCTATGTTATATGAACTGGAAAAAAACTGAGTATTTGCATGAGTGTGCACTGATTAACAAATACTAACACAAATGTTAGCAGACAAAAGAAAATATTATGAATATTGAAATATGGGTTTATAAATGCTGGCCTAATCAATAAACCTTTATTAATAGCATCCATGTGATCACAGTATTAGATTATGACTTTTACTGTCTGTACAAACTGTTCAAAATAAACAATCCTCATGGAAAAACTTTAACTGAGGCAAAATGTATAGCAAGAGTACATGGATTCATTTAAAATTTTTAAACATATATTTTTACCATATATTCTAGAAGACAGAGACAGAAATTGGAGGATTCGGAGGGAAAGAATAAAGAAAAACCATTGGTAGTATTTAGTTTACACAGTAAAAATTTCTAAATAAGAATCGATGCTACACTGAATTCACATTTTCACCATTTTCGTAAGGAATAAACTAAAAATCCCTTTTGCTCAAAAATTCCATTTTATTTAGCTTAGTTTCTGGCTTCTTTATTGACATTTTAAGTTCATCAAGTCATATTTTTCCTGATGTTTATTACCCAGTTCTCCAGTGTTTCTAACATATAAGAGGGCTAGTGTTGTGGCACAGCAAGCTATGCTGTCCATTGTAGTACCAGCACACCAGAGTCCTGGTTGGAGTACCACTTGCTCCCATTCCTGTTAATGTGATTGGGAAGGCAGCAAATGAAGCGCTTGGATCCCGCTAACCCATATGGGAGAGTCAGAGGGAGCTCCTGGCTGCTGGCTTCAGCCTTGTCCAACTCTACTGTGGCATTTAGGGACAAGGCAGCTGATGGAAGATATCACTCACTGGAGGCCTGATGATAAAAACTAGAGGAATGTAGACAGTGCCATGACAACAGTAAATTAAGTTTCTGCCTGCGATGCCAGTATTCCCAGTGGGCACTGGTTCAGGTCCTGGCTGTACCACTTTCTATGTAAATGCCTGTTAATGTGCCTGGAAAAGCAGCAGAAGATAGC